CTTGTTGTGAAGTTTGAAGTTAATCCGTTAATAATTACTCGAGATATCGAGCGGACACTGTTTCGGCAAGTCCATAAAGGGGCATAACTCCACAAATTATGGTCGGATAATGGCGGTTATCGAACTTGTCCGAGCTTTCACGGTAATTAACCTTGTGGTGAAGTTTGAAGTTAATCCGTTAATAATTACTTGAGATATCGAGCGGACATCGTTCGCATGCCCGCCCGCCCGACCGCCCGACCGCCCGACCGCCCGACCGCCCACCCGCTCACGTGATAACATAATACGTCCCCGTCTTCGACGGGCGTATAAAAAGGGGATGGAAAAATAAAACTGATTCACACTCAAACTGGATGGAAAAATAAAACTGATTCACACTCAAATTTCATATGATAACTGCATGTGTACCTGATTTCCGCTACGCCTCCATCGGACCTCTGGGCTTGGTCGTCCTGTAGCCTGACAGAAGAATTCGGCCTGGGCCCCCTCCCTCACCATCAGATTGGCCGGAGTAACAGTAACAGTAATAGGTACAGCTAGAAAAGACAATTTAACACACATGATGTAACTCAAGGTATCTTACTAACTGTACAACAGGTTACACTTCAGGTGTGCTAACATTCAAGTAAACTCCCGTGGAGTGACACCGGACACAAACGTAGAGGCAACATTTGTACAATCCATAAAGCTGAATTTGTTCAGTCTATGAAAGTATGAGTTTTCAATGTGTTGTAGTTTATAAAGTACCTCAGGTAAGCAACAGAAGTTTGAACTATGACTGAACGTGTTTGCCACCGTTTAATGTAAGACCCTTTGCTCTCTGTAATAAGGCTAAAATTATCATGAAAAATAATGCTATATACAGTCATATGTATTTACTGTGGGGAACAGTTTAACATTAGACTAATATGGGTTTAACAGCTGATGGGTGAATATTTAACTCGGCAAGGTTTCCTGAAATATAATATACATATACATGTATGTTTGAGTTAACCCTTTCACCCTATGTAACCTTGATAAACTCTACCATGCATTGATCTGGATGAGTCCATGATGGTCTACAGTGGTGAAAGGGTTCATCCAAGTTTAGTTAATACAGCTCTGCTGTATATATTTTAAAAAGTTTAAAAATTGTGTTGTTGTGGATTTCTTTAAGAATATGATACTCAGTATTCAATGTTTCACCAAAATATCAGCTGTTGAAATATAACAGCCCAGACAGAAAGCAGATGTTCAGAAACATGAAACTGAACAGTGTCCTCTGTCTGAACTGGATACTCCTGGGACCACATAATTTGCTTGATTTACAGAGAGTTTCAGACTATAGAGAGTCTACTTATATATTGATTTTGTTTGAACTTATTTGGCCAGTTTGGACAAAATTTGGAATGGGGAAGAGTTGGGTTTAGACAAAGTGGACTGTATAATCACAGTGAAACATTGAGTACTTGCAATGATTTAACTCATTCACCCATGAAGACACATTTGAACTCTTCCAATTCAACTGTTGGAATAGTTCATTATGAAATTTCAGGGGTGAATGGGTTAATACAATAAAATGTTGGTCCTATACAGGATTTCATCATGTGATTCATACATACAGAATATTGTTAAGAATCAATTTATCCCATCATAACCTTTGTAAATGCTGCATGGAGGGTCTCTCATCAATAAATGAACAACAACTCATTGATGTCAAAGGGAGATAATTCATTCCATTAATGGTTCTTCCACAAGATTCATATAGAGTTTTCTAGCCTAACTTTAGACTTTGAAGCACTTTCATACTTTCATTTTCACCTTCAATTCTAGCTTGTATGGGGAAAAAGTAAAAAAATTTATTAAGAGACAATAAGAACTTTGCTTTTTCATGACTATATGAACCTTGTTAAAAATACATGTATTGCAACATTGAATTCATTTTTTTTAAACTCAAATACTTTTTGTCCAACCTTCACCAGCAGTTACAGCAAACACTCAATGCTTTAAACATGCTACCTTTTATAATTCACCAACTCATTCATGTTCCAAATATCAAAAATATTGTATAAGATAAACTAGACATGCTCTTTTCAATGCCTGACAAATGTATAAAAATAATATTCCTAATGAAAAAGAACAGTTTTCTGCAATGAATATGAATACTTGACAATAAAAATAATTTAATAAATAAATGTCTGTCATGAAAGTGCAAATTTCAACAGAGAAATGCCTCACTATAAAACACAGTTTTGTTTGAAAATTAACAGTAAACAATTTTTAAAAAAACACACACAATAATGACAACTTTCTACAAAGAATGCCAGAAGAAATTAAATACAATTTCCCTCTAAGATTACCTACCTGTTGTTAAATAAAAACTTTCTACAAATACTGAAGTATAACAGAAATTCTAATTCACTTGAGATGTAACACAGCATTTGACTGGTCATTTGTAATAACCACAAAATATCGTCTGCAAATTTCTCATTTGAATATGAAGCTCGAATGGCAATTGTTAATGATGTCAGTAACCCTGGCTGACCCAAACAGGTCATGAAATTGATAATTACCTGGTTATGATATCACAAATGAAAGTGTGACCCCAAAAGGTCACTGTAATTGTCACCAATTTCAAAAAGAAATTCAAAAAAATATCTTAAAATGGTTACTTCTCTCAGTGGTTTTAGCTGCTATAATTTAGAATGGGGATAAAACTGCTATATTTTGCGATTTTTGTTGGTATATAATGATTATACTGTCACAAATATCTGTTTTAATGGCACCACACCACATCATCAGTAAAACTCAATTTGGGACAGTATAATCTTGATATATTGCTCAGGCACGCCACCATCTAGTCGGCCAATAAAACCCCACTAACTGGTGACGCCTGATCAAACCCATCTATGCAACCACAAGACATTGGCTCTACATTTTTTTGTTAATCATGATATACTGATGCAAATCACAAAATACAGGAGGGTTATCCTCTAATTTATGCTATGAATACTTGATAATTATGAACAAGTTTCTGTACAAAACGCCTGACTATAACATCAAAACTATATAAAAGGATATCGACAATATTTTTAACTTAAAATACCTGGCAATATAAAAAGCAGGATACAAAATAGAAAATTCTTTCCTATAAAACCCATCACATATATATGTGTTATGATTTGATATGATGCTGAGAAACATGCCCCTCCATCCCATCCCAAACAATTATAAAAAGTTCAAAGTGCAAGACGTTCCAAGACATTTGTCAACAATCAATGTGCAAGATGTTTCAAGACATTTGTCAACAATCAATGTGCAAACTGTTCTAAGACATTTGTCAACGATCAATGTGCAAGATGTTCTAAGAAAATTGTCAACAATCAATGTTCACGATGCAACATTAAATTTGGTAACATGTTAACATATCATCACAGATGACGTCTTCAAAAAATAAAATTTGTCTAACACACTTCATTTTTGATCTTGTTTCTAGCAGACATTCCTAAAACCATGTTTTAAAGTGTCATCTATCGTATGGCTGTGCTAATAGATAAATATATTTTAGCATAGCAGATTTTCTCTGTAATACAGGATTAAGTAAGGCTATAATTGTTCTGTATAGTATATGTACTAGATAGGTCTAATTACTACAGGATAATATAGGTCTATATTCCCTAATGACTATTTGGGATATCTAGCCCTAGTCCACGAGTACTCTAAGCCCGAGTACATGTAACACTCAGCCCAAGCATACATGATACAAACTAAACCTAATTATTTACTAATACAGGACACTTAGCCCAAGTATATGGAATATTTCATCGAAGAAAACACTATCCTTTACATGAATATATTTTACGCATGTTAACAGAAAACTATGAATATTTAAAAAAATCGAAAAAATGAAGTTAAATTTGAAAAGGATACAAATCAAGATGGAATTCCTAAATATTGGAGATGATATATGAGTGAAAGTACCAAAGAGACTACACCTATCCATGATGTTACCTGAATGAGAGAATGACAGGAATAGCATGTCATGTGACTTATGGCCTGTCATGTGACCATGACATGTGATGAATTTTGCTTTGTCACATTAATGTTTAGCAGCATTACAGAAAAGATGATAAAATTCAGTCTGAAAGTGAAATGTTTCTTTTGTGATTTCAACTTGATTGGTTTTTCTGGTGCATTTACATATGGAACTGAAGTGTGCCACAAAGATGACCTCAAATGATAGGTATTACTCTATACATTTACCACGTTTGTGATCCAAAACCTGTCTATATTCTTATGGGAAAATTATTAACGAAACAGAAGTCATTATTTTTGTTGATGCAATGCTAAGGGTCAAACCCAGGGACCTCTGGTGTACTAGTCTGACGCTCCATCGATTGATTTTCCCTTGCGGAGTCGTTAGTGTCGGAGTGACTAGCACCTACTCGGTTGACTTTAATTTTTTGGTACCACAACAATTTAAGTTACAAAACATTTCATTTATAGTATTAAGAAATATTGATTAGAATTCTTACCAAAATCGTTTTAATTTCATAGTATTCAGATATCAAATTAAATCATAATAAATGATCAGATCTAACACTTTAGCATGAAAATCTTCCAAGTTAAATTTGAATTGCAGAGAGCACAAATCTTAATTATGTGTTATTGTTTTAAAGGATTAAAATTATGTATTCCGTTATCACCAGTTTTAGTGTTCAACGATAAGCACACACAAAATGTCTAATGTTACAGATTTTAGTGCTGGTATAATTTTGTACTTCCATTATTGCATGTAACCTTTTATCTTAAAGTTTCAACAATTTTGAAGAAGGTTTGTACGACTGTTAGGTTTGTTAGTGTGTGTGTTGATGTTGTTTTTGTTACAATTAAAGTATTATCATTAATTATCGCCAAAAAGAAGTCATTTGTGTTCAACGAACATTCCAAAAATGGCTGAAAAACCCTTTACACACACACCATTTAGCAAATAACATATATGCCAACAATACTGGCTACAAATTCCTTAAAAAGAAAAGTGCAGGTAACAATGAAGAAAGAATATGCTGGTAAAATTCTTTAAAAAGTAGCGTAGCGAAATCGTAAGAGCAGGCTGTATACCAGATGTACTAAGGTAGAGAGTCCAAACACAGTGGAAAATCTCACTTCTTTATAATCAACAGGACAGAGGATAAAATCCCTGTTGCTGTGCCAATTTGTTTTTTGAGAAAAAGGAAAGTATAATGAATTTATTTCTTCCATATATTACTCCTTGCTATTTCAGTAAATGAGCAAGCAATCCAAGTCAGACAAGAGGCCCATGGGCCTTAACGGTCACCTGATATATTTATACAGAGAGTTGATTTCGTTTTTAACATGAACAGAAATATTATTCAAAGTGACAAAAAACAATAAAACCACCTTATTCAATATCAAGCATACAGATTTCAGACTAAAAAGGATTTGAAACTAGCACCTCTGATTCTAAACAAGGAAAATGAAGAAATTTTAGCACACTGACTCCCTTGAGCCCCACCCTACAGCCCTTGGGGGTAGGGCTGGCTCAAAATTTTCAAAGTATCAAACTGTCAACTCAAGGTTATAATTCCAATCAAGTTATTAACATGTAATATTCAAA